TCTCGGTAGGGAGCTCGGGCTCTTAGTAGAGCGGTCTGGAGTTCGGGCTCGGTAGTGAGCTTGGACTTCGTTACCTCTGGTGCTCGTTTTGGGCGCTCCGCTGTCCCGAATTGTTTGCTTTTGCCACGTGTCGAGTGATTGCGAGGTCGGGCCAAATTTCCCTTTATCAGAAACCTTGATATGAATTATGAAAAGGGCTTAGTACATTATGAGAAGAAGACCATCATTATAGATCTAGGTGAAATAATAGCGGATATATAGTACTCTTGAATTTTGTTTTAACTTTTAACTCCAAGCCCATGAATTATTCATTTTCTTCCTTCACAATATATATTAATTGTGAAATACCAATGAATCAGTTTTTATGTAAAAATAAAAAAAAAATAATATACATAAAATTCATTTCAGATCTGGAGTCCTAAATGGACAATATATTTCAAAGGGTAAATTACTGAAACCTCCCCCAAAGTTAGGTAATTGCAATCATCTCCCCTAAGCTTTTTGACGCAATTGCAAGTAGACCCCCTCTATTAGAATCCTCTAAGCTTTAACAAGAGGCACGAAATGTCCAAAATACCTATATAATTACTACCGGTGTTGCTTTCTATATAAAAAACAATACAAACTTTATAAACAACAAAAAAAGAGAGAATCTAAAGTTGCAACTTTACCTTTGAGATTTGAGCGATTGATATGAAGAGAAAATTTAAAAAATAAACATTTTGATAAAAAAAAAACTGTGGGTGTTTTAGACATTTCCATGCCTCTTTTCATAGGATTCTAACAAAGGGGGTCAGCTTGCAACTATGTCAAAAAAATTTGGAAAAGTGATTGCAATTAGCACACTTTAGGGGAGACTTCAACAACAACCAAAAACTTCAGGGGTAGAAATTTAACCTACTTCAAATTTAAAACCTTGTATTATGCCACCTCCCAAATAGCAGTCTTATCGAAAGCAAACATGTTGATTGTAAAAGGGCAAAAATAGATCACATACCATGGTTGAACAAAAGAATCCGACTGACTCTTGATTTTTATATAAAACTCCTAAATTTTAAGCCCTAATCTTATATCTTAAATTTCCACTGAGAAATGCATTTGATCGGATACAATTCCTCCGATCAGATAGGAGACAATAATTCTTTGCAAACATGTTGATTGCAAAACGAATATTATAGGAAGACAACCTCCCACAAAACAATAATGAGATTTGACTTTTTTATTTATTTGTAAGAAGTAAAATGATGTTGTACAGGGATATAACTTGGACAGGCTCGGATTGGGCTCGTATCAAAATTTGAGTGGACCTGGCCCTAAAGGCTTAAGTCCAGAACAATGTAAAATGCTAACTAGGGCCAACTCGATTTGCCCCACTAATGTTATCCCCACCTTATATGAAAGAGAAATGTACCTAAGAGAAAGGCTTAATTGTTTGGGAGTGAGGTAAGAAACCAAGATAGTGTGGACCTCACTTTTGTATAAGAAAAAATTGAGATAAGACTGTAGGAGGAAGGTGGTGCAAACTTTGCATCCATTTTTGGAATACAAAATTTGCAAATAGAAAGAAAAAAAATTTGGATGGAATGGCAGTAGTGGCAATTTCAAAGCATTTAATTTAATATATAATTATCACATTGCTGACTGAAGAGAGTCCCTTTTTCTTGATGTTTGCTTCCTTTTTCCGGGTTCGGGGTTGTTCATCAGCTAAAGAATCTGGGTGGAATGGCAGTATTGGCCACAGGAATTCTGGCTCGGAGTCATAGATATATACGAGAGAGCAATTCAATATGATACGTACAGCAGCGTCTTGTTATATAAAATATGGGTAGAACTTAATTTATTTATACTATTAGTACAAGTTGAGTTTATCTTTGGCTTCTGTCTTTAATGGAGAATTCAGATGAAGCTGACACACAAGAATACTGAGTAAGCACTCAGAAAATTTTATGATTCATGTCCCATAAAGTACCCTCAGATTACCCTTGAAATGATTTAAACAAAATTTTAAATATTAATGAGTGCCTATTGAATGTGTTCATAATGACTGGATCCGGTCTCTCTTAATGTTTTGAATTAACGAATACTTAATTTTGAGCGTCAATTAGAGAGAAAAATTCATGCATTTAATATATTGTTGGTTAATTACTGTTCCATAGTATTTTTTTTTATATACTTTTTAAATACAATTTTGTCTTAAATTCCTGATTAGATCCCATATCAACACTATATATATATTTTTTTAATTTTTGAGGGATGCCAAGTGACCATCAAATTAACTTGCACAAATTTTTTTATATAAGTAGATATCATTCATTGGGTTCTGTGAGCTTTGTAGAGATCGCTTATCCTTAGTCTGGACTTTGGAGAAGTGAAGAACAATGTCGATTGTCATGGCATCTCTGAAGGTTATCCTGGGTGCGCCCTTTAATGGTCTCATCCATAAAGACTTCCAACAAGTTGTAGCTAGGATGACTCTCATAGACAAGCTTCTTTTCTTGGTAGCTAGCTAGAAACATCAATTCCTGCATATGCTTTCTTTTATATATTGTCAACAATCAAGAATAACTAGCTAGGGTTTCATCTTCTTGCTTTTTCTGTTTCTTAATTATTTCTCTCTTTATCCATGACTGCAGATAATACATTCCATTGACAAATTGGGCATGTGGCATCAGTTACCAGTGTTCTTGGGTTTGATATATCTTGGAATTCGTCGGCACCTTCACCAACAGTACAACCTCTTCAATGTCGGTGTCACTTCCGTTGGTGTTCGTTTTAACCCTGCTGATTATCCTTACAGAACAGCCGATGGCAGGTACAACGATCCCTTTAATGAAGTTGCAGGCAGTGAGGGCACCTTCTTCGGAAGAAACATTCCCCCTGTCAACCAGAGACTCAAGGTACTGGTACACTTCATTCCTTTTGTATACATGGAAATTTTTTGTGATAATGTGGTTCCGAAAATCAATCAAACATTACATACACAAAAAGATCAGGTTTTTGTTGGCGTTCATAGATTACTCGACTTTTGCAGTCTTTTTCCAGGAAAGCTCTTGACCGCCGGGACAGCTCTAACAAACCGCCGGCAGAGATTCATTTTTGTGTTTATTATATGTTTTTTTTTTTTTATGCCCAGCGGAGCCATCTTATCTGTTATATATAACATATGATTATGACATTTAATTAAGCTAACTATTTTTCTGAAAAGAGATGCTGCCAACAGTTTAACACAACTGCTGCCCTGACCCCTGAATTTTTGTTTGGCCTTTTGTTGCTTTTACCCTCTTTGCTTCCCCTTTTACCTCATTTTTTGAGTAATTTAACACCTTGCTATCTTCCTGAAAAACGTATGTGCTCGGTCTTCTCAATGAGATCTTCACTTGATGACTTGATTTTTTTTTTCTCCTAAAAAGTAAAAAAGAAGAAAGAAATATTACCAATTTGTAGAATTTGACCAAAAAGTAGAAGAGAAATGAATGAGATGAAGCATTTATATATACCAAAGAAATGATTGCAACATTTAACACATTTCTTTTTTAGTCGTGCAACCATGGGCCGGGCTCACTTATTAATTAAGGACTATAGCCTGGGCCCGGCCCGGATCCATGCCCCAAATGCAAGGAAGGGCGGGCCTAAACCAAACCGGTGGTACTAGTTTTTTCAATTTTTTATAAAAAACTGAAAAACTAAAAAATTGAACTGAACTGAGAAAATCAAACCGCAAAATGTGGTTAATCGAATCGATCGGTTTGGGATTTTTGAAAAATCGAAGGACTGGTTCGGTTTTTGGTTAACCTACAAAAAAATCGATGGTTAACTGAACTGACAGGTATATATATTTTTAATATATGTCACATATTTTCTATGTATTATATATTCATTATATATAAATGTATACTTATATTATATTTATAATGATTTATTTATAAATATATTATATACATTATATTTTTCAAATATTTATAATATATTATATATCATTTATTATTTATTATATAATATTATACATATATTTGTACAATATATATTATAAATATAAAAAACCGAAAAACCGAAGAACTAAATCGGTCAAAAACCAAAACCGATGAACTGGTTAACCGGTGGTATCGATTCGATTTCGATTTGGAGAATTGGAAAAACCGATACCATCGGTTCGGTTTACAAAAAAATGCTAACCAAACCATAGACACTCCTAATTACCACTCTCTCTTCGCACTTTTTTTTTTTTTTCTTTTTCCTTTACAAAGGCAATTTTATCCAAAAAGAACATTTTTTTTCCCACTTTCTGACTCTGTTCATAATTAACATGTCTTGTTGTGTGATATGGCATTGTGTTGTCGTAGCTAGAGCAACCGGAGCCGGCGGCGGTGGCCACCAAACTTCTGGCCCGGAGAAATTTCAAAGATACAGGAAAGCAATTGAACATGATCGCTGCATCTTGGATACAGTTCATGATACATGATTGGATCGATCACTTGGAGGATACCAAGCAGGTTAATTTCAAATTAATTAATTAATGCTAGCTCCACCACCAACTAATTAACTTGAGATGATGTATGTCGCTGATGATGATGAATTGAATATATATGTTGTGCGTTTGCACTTTTGCAGATAGAACTGACTGCACCTAGTGAAGTAGCGAGTCAGTGCCCACTCAAATCGTTCAAGTTCTACAAGACCAAGGAGGTCCCGACTGGTTTTTATGAGATAAAGAGTGGGTCTCTGAACACTCGAACACCTTGGTGGTAAGTTTTGCTTTCACGCACGTACGATGACTTAAAACCCTGCTTCTAGCTAGTTGTCTCTTCTTTCTCAAGCTAGCTTAAATAATTAAGCTCATCATGGTTTGTGATCGATACATGGATCATGGATGGAACATCTATCGTCAAGGGATGGGAGTGCTGTATATGGGAGCAATCCCGAGAAGTTGGGAAAAACGAGGACCTTCAAAGATGGGAAGCTCAAGATATCGGATGATGGTCTTCTCCTTCACGATGAAGATGGAATTGCCGTCTCAGGAGATATCAGGAACAGTTGGGCTGGCGTCTCCGCTCTGCAAGCCCTATTCGTCAAGGAACACAATGCCGTCTGTGATGCTCTTATGGTAATATTCAGAACGTACTCACTTGCTTAATTGGTACATACATGGTAGACCGGTAGTGTTATTGTGGTTGTGGATAGGAGATCCAGACTCAGTGTTGTTACGACTGAAACAGTGTTTTAGATAATGCTTTCTTAGTTTCAGATCACGTCTTAAAAATTGAGAAAATGTGGTTTAGAGCAATGCTAAATTCAATATTTTATAAGAAAACAACATGCTACTGTCAATGGTACAATGATGTGACATCATTTTGGAGGTTGGATAATATACATCAGTGTTGAAAACATTATTACCATCACTCGTACCAATTAAAACCAACTCCACATCCCCAGCATCGTTTTTATGAGAAAGTCGTACAATGTTCCCAGCACCGATGCCAAACACTAAACTTACCTGGTGTTTGGAATTATGCCATTTGCTTGAAAAATGGCATCACATCAGCACTCTGTAAAATCTGTGTTTTTTCATACATCTGATGTGTGTGTATTTTTTCTTTTTTTGAAAAACGTTTTTTAAGATCATACCTTGAAAACCTGGAAATGTGTGGTTGGAGAAAATAGCTCTTTTTTGGTGTTTTTTTACTGCTATGCTGATATGGCAACACCTATGTGGCAGCAGTAATAATGGTTCAAAATAGAAAAAAAAAGTTTTCTGAAATAAAGAAAAATAACATGTTAATGCATCATCATTTTCTCAAAAAAAAAAAAACACCTCTCAGGCATTGATTCCTAACATGTCATTAATGAATTATTGCTTTAACTTTTACTGATGAAATGATTAAGTATGTTGTGAACTACTTATTAGCTGCTTGTGCAGGTTGGATTGATTGCTATAACCCAATGCCGGTTGGGACAACAGTAGAAAATAAATAACCCTAATTTAGATGGTGTTTTGTTTTATTGCCATTTATCCGAACAACTGGTGCCAATTCTGTGTTATATAGGCTTTTTTTTTTAATGGAATTTGAAATATTGTTTGATTAAACCGTTTATTAAAAAAATGTTTTTCTCGAATTGTATAAGAGCGAGCCATCTGTTGGAGGGAAATATCTTTTTGATGTTTGCGCAAATGCGAAGGCATTTTTTTGATGTCTAGCTATAAAAAATCTTATAAAATAAAGGCAATGAAACCAAATAGCCCCTTAATTAATCTGATTATGCTTTCTTCTTCATCTTATTTAATTCTAATTTGTATATATTCAATGAGAGAAAGCATTAATTTGTAAAACACGTGATGTTTCAGAAGGAATATCCAGAGTTAGATGACGAGGATCTGTATCGCCATGCAAGGCTAGTTACTTCAGCCGTGATTGCCAAGGTCCACACCATTGATTGGACAGTTGAGCTCCTGAAAACTGATACATTGTTGGCAAAAATGCGTGCCAATTGGTGAGAAAAAAAAAACAACAATTAGCATTGCAAAGCTTCCCATTTTCCACTATGAATAACTGGTAAAATTAAAGTCTAATTCACATCATGAGCACCCGGTGCAACTGACAACAGCAAAAGACGCTACTCTTTCCATTCAAATTATAATTATATATGTAAACATATTTAATTAATTACAATGGTTTTTCACTTTTTCTTAGGTATGGGTTGCTAGGAAAGAAATTCAAGGATACATTTGGGCATGTAGGAGGAGACATCTTGGGAGGTCTGGTGGGTATGAAGAAGCCGGAGAATCATGGTGTCCCTTATTGTTTGACTGAGGAGTTCACTAGTGTTTGCAGGATGCATGCGCTTCTACCTGATGACCTTCACCTTAGGGATATCTCTGTTGCTCCGGGACCCAACAAGGCGCCTCCAGTGCTTTTAAGGTCTCTCTCTCTCTCTCTCTGATTATGAATGATCACCGCTTTGGCTTTGAGTTAATATTAAATGATCGATGGGACACCAAACAGGATACCTATGACCAATCTGATAGGCCACAAGGGAGAAGAAGCATTATCCCGGATTGGATTCATAAGACAAATGGTTTCAATGGGACACCAGGCATGTGGTGCCCTTGAGCTCTGGAACTACCCTCTGTGGTTGAGGGATCTAATTCCACAGGACAAGGATGGGAAAGAAAGGCCGGATCATGTTGACATGCCTGCACTTGAAGGTAAACCACAAGCTGATCTCAACCGTTCATTGCCCTATATAATGCTGAAATTAATATTGATTAATCCCACAGTTTACAGGGATAGGGAGAGGAAAGTTGCCAGATACAACGAATTCCGTCGGAGCTTGCTATTGATACCCATCTCCAAATGGGAGGATCTGACGGACGATATGGAAGCAATTCAAACACTGCGACAAGTGTATGGAGATGACGTTGAGGAGCTTGATCTCATTGTGGGTCTCATGGCTGAAAAGAAGATTAAGGGATTTGCCATTAGTGAGACAGCCTTCACCATATTCTTTATGATGGCATCCAGGTAATTAAACTCTCCTCCAATAATCAACTTGTTTAAAGACAACGTACGGCCCATCCTTTGAATTAAATGGGTTGGATTAACCCAACTGGGTCTGAATGCAATCCAATGTACCACTGGATACTCTACTACGTGAGGTCTCAAGTCTCAAATCTCAATCCAGGATGACGGTGACTTTTTGGAAGGATGGCCTGATGCTGATGGCCCAGTCGTGTTAACCGGGGTAGGTTTGCCCAGTACTCATACGTGGTACTTAGACCTTGATCCAAATGCCACGCCCACGCAAACCCATATTTAAATGGGTTGGATCAGATAAGTCCGAGTGGGGCTTTGTGTTAGTTTATACGTTTACCCAAAAAAAATGTTTGACCTAATGCATATCTGATTATCTACAGACTGCTACCCAACAATCTAGCCCAGCCCATTTCCATCCGTCATTAATTGGCTTTTTTTTTTAGAAAAAAAAAAAAAAAGCCATTGGCTGATTCAACCCATTTCCAACCAACCAGTTACATGAAATGGATCAGGTAGAAATGCCACCCCTAGGTCAAAAAGACTGTTGTGAGATCCGAGTTAAATGGGGCATGTTGTTGTAAATTAAAATGGGCTGCCTGCCTAATATCAGGATTATGAATTGAACTAAGGTTCTATTCAAAACATTTGGGGCTTATCAATTCAATTGCTTGAGAAAGTGTTTGGTAGCCTAAAAAATGTATGCATTGAATTGGTATGGGCATTTATGCTAGATACAATTGTCACTTCATGGTCGTACCTATATTTAATACTAAAACAATGGCCTATTTTATCAAATATTTGTATGGGTAAACCCCAGAAAACATCAATTAATGCAACCTCAACTTGTCAAATAATCTTGGCATTTTCTATTGTTTGATTTTCTTGATAATTCATTTGAGAGTTCATTAATCCCTAAAAAGAAGTTAATGCATGATGCATGTATAGAAAGTAATTAATTAATGAAGAATTTGGTTGTATGTGAATGGAGTGTAGGAGGTTGGAAGCGGATCGGTTCTTCACAAGCAATTATAATGAGGAGACGTACACAAGGAAGGGGCTGGAATGGGTAAACAAAACTGAAAGCTTGAGAGATGTTATCAACCGCCATTACCCAGAGATGACAAAGAAGTGGATGAACTCCGCCAGTGCCTTCTCCGTCTGGGACTCACCTCCCCAACCTCACAATGTCATCCCCCTCTATCTTCGTGTTCCCCATTAGTGAACCAGCTTTATTTAATTTAATTTATTGCACTCTTATACCATCCGATCGTGGAGTCTATCCATGCATCCATGAAAACAAGAGGAATGCTGCTAGCATTATGATAATAGTTAGTACTTACTAGCTACTTAGTAGGGTAATAAATAAACTAAGCGTCTTTTGTTTGTGACCCACCTGTGTCTGTGTCTGTGTCTGTGTCTGTGTGTTATTCACTTATTTGTGAAGGTGAAAGAAGGGGCACTTTATACGTATACGAGTTTCGATCTTTTGAATTTATTAAGAAAACTCCATTGATTTGCTTTGATTTATGGTCAGCCTCCTTCACTATTAAGCTGCTAAGAGGTGGTGGTGGTGGTTGTTCATAAATTGAATGTGACAAGGCCAACCGACGCACTCGGTAGGCCCACCTGAAGCTGAAGATAGTAATACTGTAATAACATAGCAGTGAAATTCAGATACTCGATCGATCAGATACCCACTTGTATGTGACAAGGCCCACCGACAACCGAGCATCGATGACAAATCTCAGCTACTAGTTCATTAAAGATAGAGAAGATTAATCTGACCAATATATATATATATATATATATATATATAATATATATGATATCTACTAATAATCTTCCACGTACGTACGGTAACCAATAAGCTAGCTACCACCTAATCGGAATTAATCCAACAGTGATGTGCTGTGGGGCTCCTAATTAAATCCTAATCCACAGCATCTCATACTTGTTATTGCAATAATCTAGCTCCCCTAGCTACAACAGCGAACATATATAGGGATCTCTAGGCATTATTGACAAGGTAGTCGTCCAATGCCTTCAAAGTCTTGGTTGCAAAGTCTTGAACGAGGTGGGGATCAGGCACCTCGTCGCTAGCCTTGTCAAATTCGCACGACCATTTCACCACCTTCTTCTTATCATCACCACCCGCTGTAGTGACATGTACCCTCGCCCTGAAATGCTTGTAGAATTTTAATATGTCTCCTTCAATGGCGCTGTAAGCTTCCACCTTGTTTGCTTCATCCACCAGGTCGATTCTCTCCTTGGACATCGTTATCACAGGAATTCCTACACGGTATATATATCTCAAATTAATTAAAACTTCTCCTTAATGCAATATTCACTATCCATCATATCTAATGGTGCCTTCACGAAAAGTAATTTTAAATGTTAATTAAGGTGGGGTGGGTGGGTGTGCGTTTTGATAATTTGATTTGAATTATATTACCTCCAGTACTAGTGTATTTGACCAGCCTGACGGAGCCCTCGCTCTTTCCATCACCCTCAACAACTTCAATTCTCTCGTAGTAATCAGATAAGACCTTGGGGAAGAGGGTGGTGGAGCTTCTGATGCTTTCCCAGAACTTATCGGTGGGAGACTTGATCTCCATTTCTACTTCCAGCTTACCTGGAGATGCCATGCCTAACGAGACCGACAAACAATATTGCAAAGCTAGCTAGCGATGGGGAGGACAAGAAAAATATGAGAGCCAATGATGGAATCAAACCAACATAGCAAGCCTATATATAATTGGGGGTGAGAGCATTATTGATATGGTTGGAGCTGATCAGGTGAGGCACCTAATTGCTTCAATTGCATATTTTATTGGTTAAGAAGTAAGCCCACTGTGGTAGATTCAGACTTCAAAGTAGTTTTTATCATGGTTTTTAAAACCAACCCGGTGACCGAACTGTTCAGGGGTCCGGTTACCGGGTTGAACGGTCCAACCGTTCGAACTGAACGTTCAGCTTATTCTAACAAAAAATTAAAAAATAAAAAAAATGGTCAAAACCGTTCGAACGGTTAAGCAGTTTGTTGAACAAAATCAACGGTTCTGGGGAAAAATCTGGTTTTTGCGTTAAACGGAACTGGTCACTTGACGGGTTCCCGGTTTGTCCGTCCGATTTGATCCGGTTTTGAAAACCATGGTTTTTATGTATGATTTTCTTGGCTTCTTCAAAACAAAAACAAAACCGTAAGGCTTAGTTTGGAACTTGGAAGGAGTACAAATATGTCAATACATACAAAATACAAGGTTTTGTACTCTACATATTTATATTTGTATTCCTCCAAGCTGAGCCTAATTAAATGTTTGGCATCGATGATGCATATATAGTACCATTTTGTATATCTGTGGGTTGGAAGCACTGTTTTCTAAAGCAATGGTGTCTCTTTTTGTTTGGAAACATTACTGTTATGTAAGACGTTTTCTGGGATAACAACAACTTCTTTTTGGCACCAGTGCTCCATATTTATTTTCAACACTGGTACCATTTATAGTAATTCTACGTCACTACTACATCATATCCTCGTTGACAGCAATGAGCTCCAAATTGAAAAAATATTAAATTCTACATTTAATCAAATCACATCTTCTCGATTTCCAACATTACATTAATATAACACTAATATGTTACCATTTTCTAGAGCAACGTCATCCGTGCAAAACACCGCCTTAATAGCCCTAATGCTTGTGGTTGACGGTATCACACAGGTCGCTTGGGCCATGAAATTAAAGTCATTGCTTCTATTTTACTGCACGGATGATTTCAGAAACAAATTAATGGTGGGAGATGAGGGCGGTACATATGATGGTCCACTTAATTCAAAGGTGCCACTGTTGCGTGGGTGGTATTTAGAGTAAGTAGGTCACCTCCTGATTACAACTGGATGGTTGAGAACTTGAGATTATTATTATTGCCCTGGCCCGCTCAATAAGATATTTCAGGGAGAGGGAGAACGGAGCTTCCAAAGAAAATCACCCCTCCTTAAATAATGGACCACTGCACTTCTTTTTATTATAATTTACAATACACAAGTGGCAAGAGTATCAAGGACTTACAGTAAAATCCATTGCAATGATTTTAAAACCGGACCGGATAGAGAACCATTTTAAAACTGGTTTTTGAGTTAAATGGTTTGACCATTTGAACCAAATAAATAATTCATTCTAATAAAAAACTAAAAAACAAAGAATACTACAAAATCATTGTCTAAGTCAACAGTTTAACTGCTTGAATCAGTCAATTAACAGTTTTTCGTCAAAAAGTACTTTTGAGGTAAAACAGAACCGATCAAATGATCAATTCCTGATTTTGTGGTCCGACAATCTGGTCCGACCGGTTTTAAAAACACTGATCCATTGGCTGAATGGATTCAAATTGGAAGGGGTAGATGATGTTTTTATTATTGTGTCCAAATTATTGGGTGGGTCGCCCGCCGAATAAAGTCGGTAAGTTCTTAATGGGCTTGCTTATCCAAATCCAGCGTATGTAAATGTGACATGTTCGCCAATTTCGGTGTGCGTCTTGTGTAAATCTGTGATGTGCAATTAAATAATTAATTTTCGGGCCCTACTCGGACCAAACGCCACCTACCAAACCACTGAAACCAGACGTCTCCGTCTCCGACCGCCAAGGCCAAACCACTGAAACCAAATGCCAAACCTGTTTGGAGGGCCACTGTAACCAGCTACGAGCCACCATCAGGCGCCACCATCGATCCGACGCTTAGGGCTGGTTCTGGTCTATGTAACTCTGTAAGTTAACAACTATACTCTGGTCTCTGTTAAGATAAACGGATCAAATTCGGATAATCTTTTCTATCATGACTTAACAACATATATGGTATTAAATATAATGGAATAGCAAAACAAGATTCACATTGACAACCCATATATTTGGGATAAGGCTTGAATGATGATGAATTTTTGCCACTTTTAATAAATATAAGATGCTACTTTCTTAGTGAACCGTTGAAGGAGGATGTCTTGCCGTTCACAATAATAATTGATTATTTAGGAGCTGTACCTAAATGGGTAGAAACAAGATGCATAAGGATGGGATAAGGCTTAGTTGGGTTAATTTAATTCCCACCTCTTGTACTACAGTGGTTTAAAACTCAAGGCATTCAAATAACCCAAAGGGGTTATCATGTTATTCCTACTTCAATTATATTATTAATCCTACCTAGATCTCTTCATAGTCGGGTTCGGGTTTGGTTTTTGTCAAAATTTGAATGGGATTCGGCCTGAAGCTTGAATTCAGTATAGTTTTTCTTTTTTTTTTTATTGGTTTTTTCCTCTTTTTTCTTTTCTTTAGTGGAGTGGTGGAATTATAGAAACTCTACTCTAAGGGGCTGTTTGGCAAGTCTTTCTAGGTAGATCTTTCAACAGCCTAATAAATATGACCAACACTATTTAATTCACGTCATGGTCTACCAAGCTGTTAAAAACAGTTGGGAAGACTATTTTATTGTAGAAAGACCAAAAGTTTCACTAGAAGCTTCCTTTTCTTTTTTTTTTTTTTGCTTCATCACTAGAAGCTTTCTGATTTTCGGATTTTTTAGTCTTTCCATACATTCATCTTTGGGTCTGGCCTACAAGATACCAAATGAAAAACAACCATTTTTTTTATCTTTTGAGTTTTTTATTTCAACCCAAAAGATGCACCAAAAAGACGTCCCAAAACACCACCTAAGAGAAGGATTACTTAATACCTCCCTATACTCCTACCCATCAAGGAGTGTATAGATGAACTGCCCAGAACGTGCCCAGCCCAGAACTGTCTCAACAGCCTATGTTGTTGGGCCCCAACAGCCAAAGTTAACCCCTCACCTTGCATTCTCCTTGACTCTCTCTCTCTCTTTTCTCCTTCCCACCACTCCCATTAAGCCATGTCACCATTCCTAACCCAATTACCTAAAAATATTACTAAAATCTCTCTCCTAAGGTATTTCCTCTAAGCCATTAGGAACTTATCATGTTACTCCGCTCCCCATTCAATTCCTAAAATCCTCCCCCCCCCCAATCTATATCAACTCTCTCTCTCTCTCTCTCTCTCTCTCTCTCTCTCTCTCTCTCTTTCATTTAAAATATCCATATTAATTAATGAAAAGTTAAATACGGTTAATATTTTATTCAACCTATATTTAATGAGTATTAAACTGTGTTATTACCAAAAGTTAATAAATACGGTTAGTAAATTACAAAAAATTAATAAATATTGTAATTAACTAACTCATCATGAATTTTTAAAGTATTTTGAGTAAATATTGTTATATTCATGTTAATTAACAACCTTTAACAGAAATTGAAAACTCTTTAACTAATTTCTATAAAAGTGAGAATTATATTTAACAATTATCTAAAAGTACAAAATTTTAGTTATTGCTATTATTTATACTTAATAATCGATTGCAAACGGGGGAATAGAATATTATAACATTGAAAAATAAAATTATTAATTAATTTATATTGGAAAATAAAAGATAAATTAGTGTATTTTTTTTATTAAACTATCTAATAAAAATAGATATTTAATAATAATTTAAAATAGTATACAATAAATCTCCATAATTACACAAATTTAATAAAATTTTCAAATATTTTCATAAAATAACATTTTGGAAATTAAAAGATATAAAATTTTTGAAACTTTATTTAAAATGTATTAAATAATTATTAAAAAAATATTGGAATGTTTTCAAAATTTTAGGAAAATTTATTACATTTGATAGATTTTGGAAACTATTGAAAAATTATGTAATTTTTATTGTAAATTATTGAAAATTATTAAAGATAAATGAATATGGGAAAGGGAAAACAATAATTTGAACCAATAATTACACAAATTATTAAGATAAATTAGTATAGTATTGGAAAAAGGAAATTATTGATTAGTTTATATTAGAAAATATAAGATAAATTAGTGTAATTCTGTAAGTAAAGCATTTAAAAAGAAAATAATTTGTTTAATAACAATTTAAAAATAAATTTTCAAGATTTTCATAAAATTATATTTTTGAAAATTAAAGACAATTTAGTGTACTTTTAGAAATTTACCATGTGACTGATACTCAGTATATCCTTTTGATCATTTTTGTTATCAAATTGAATATTGGGTTGACGGGGAGTGGGTGCCTTGCTCTGAACCCGTCCAACACTAGGGATGGGGTGGGGAAAAGTTGAGGATTCCCCATCCTTGATGAGGAGTGGGTACCTTGCCCTGAACTTGCCCAACACTAAGGACGAGGCGGGGAAATTCAAGGATTCCCCCCTTTGTAAAGGAATAACGGGGAGTGGGTGCCTTGCCCTGAATCTGCTTACCATTGGGGATGGGGTGGGGATGGGGTAAAGTGTCTTGGTGGGTATAGGGATGGGGTGCCCCACCCCGAACCCATCCCGTTACCATTCCTATATAATTGTTAATTATTAGTGAAATTAATAAAAAAAGTACCTTTCGTAATTATTTTTATCTATTTAAAGTCAATCAAAATTATATTTAAAAATATTAAAAATAATAACAATTATTAAAATTTCTATAAATAATTAATAAAATTAATTTTATTAAAAAACATTTGTTCATATTAAATTAACAATAATTATTTTCTATAAATCAACATTAAATGAAAAATATAATTATTAAAATGTTAAATATTAACAATAACTTTGAATACTTTTAGTTAATTAAAAGAAAATTTTGATTATTAACTTATCAATAA